ATTTACTCGGAAGGCTTCAGTCGAAGCTGATGGGAGTCCCAGCAGCTTCTACTGAAGCCAGTCCCCAACTCCGTGGACTTCCGGCCGGGAACTTTGGGTGGCAGTATACGCTGTGAAGTGGTTTGCGGCCTGCCAGTAAACCCAAAGCAGCAGAAAAAGAAGAAGTGACGTCAGCGGCTTCATTTGGGTAATCTTCCCTCAAGGAACTTATTCCGGTGTGAACGCGATCTGTACTTTAGTTCCATGGGGGAACTAAGTGCTGGGAACTAAGTGCTGGGAACTAAGTGCTGGGAACTAAGTACGGCAAAGTACTTGGTGTGAAAGCGGCTTATGGGTCACAACGCCTGCTTTTTTAACTTGATGCTGTTTTCTGTCCTCTTTGTCTGTATCTTGCATAAAGGCACGGGTCACATGACACCCGCTCCCCCACGCACCCTGAATTATTAATTGAGTCGCCTGCCACTGACCTTTACAGCCCCCCGACCGACCAGCTGCACAGACCCGTGCTGGAGCAGAGTGCTGCTCAGCTTTCTAAAGCTTTATTGTCCTGTGGGACGTTAACATAGCAGAAATCTTTTTTAACTTTTATTCACTTTTTTTTTATTCCTGGAAAATTGTGTTTTGTGATCAAAAAGAATAATAACAACTACAAAGGAATATAAAAATAAGAAGTTGTAGTAAAAAATGACCATTAAAAGATCAAATCAAGTAGAATAACACTAAGTTAAAGGGGACCTATCATGCAAAATGCACTTTTGTACGTCTTTTATACTTGAACATGTGTCCCCGGTGTTCCAGGGAACTCACCAAGTGTCAGGAAACAACCCTCTCTCTTTTCCTCCATACCCAAATCTCTTAAAAAGGGCTGCAACGGATCTGATACAGATTTGAAATTGTTCTGAGGTCAGAAACGAGGAGCTCCGCCTATATGGGCAACTCTCCACCTATCAGGGGAATGAGAGGTTGCGTGGCATGGTAACAGCATGGTAACATGACGCTCGTGCCACGCCCCCCTCCTTTCCAGGGGGCGTGGTCAGCTGCAGCTCATTTGCCACAGAATCAGCCCTTGCAAAAACAGGGCTGGAAAAGAGCAAATAGAGCGAAATGAGGCATGGCTAAAATGCATGATCTGTTTGGTATTTTGAAAAAAAAACTTCACAGAGATGTTTTATATAGGTATGGCCCTACAATATATTATTCAAATATAGCATGATAGGTCCACTTTAAAGTAGAAATGTGCATATTGTACATTATATTACAACAATAAATATGGTAAAATCTGTATATTAATATATGTTTATGGGTTGTAGAATAAAAGGTTATTATGAAAATACATTGTAAAAATGCTGGATGCTGTAAAAGCATGTAACAAATCACCAGCTTCACCAGCGAGACAAGCATAAAATGACAGGAACAGGCAGGGAGTCAGGCAGCATTTCATATGCAAATATAGCAAAGTGAGTAAATAATCCGCTGACCTTTGGACCTCTGAAATAATGAAGCTATTACTTCGTTACTCTGCTCTGCTCTTTTCACCAAGCTGTTAACCATTCTGCATTTAAAGGTGACCTATCATGCAAAATGCACTTTTGTACGTCTTGTATACATTAATATGTGTCCCCGGTGTTCCAGGGAACTCACCAAGTGTCAGAAAACACAACCCTCTCTCTTTTCCTCCATACCCAAATCTCTTAAAAAGGGGCTGCAACGGATCTGATACAGACTGATCCAGATTTGAACACTTCTATGATGTCACAGAAGTGGCGCTACGGCTATTGGGCCAACTCCACCAATCAGGAGGGGACAGCCACGGACATTACTGTTGGAAAGCGCTGGAGACGCTGTAGTACATATGCCAGGCCTGTAGATGGTGCTGTTCTCACAGAATCAGCCCATGATGCAAAGACAGTGTTAAATTGAGCGAAATGAGGAATGGCTAAAATGCATGATCTGTTTGGTATTTTGAAAAATAAAAAGTATAAATATGCCTTATATAGGTATGGTCCTACACTATATTATTCAAATATAGCATGATAGGTCCACTTTAAAGAACATAAAGCAACTCGGTACTGAGCATAGTGTGGATTTTGGAATGTATTATAAAGTCTTTGATGCCGAGTGGTGATTTTCTGGAATAAGATGTAATGTGAAGTCTTTGTTCTGTGCTCTTCTTCTCCCAGACAAGGCCACCTCTCCATGGTGGTCCAGCTCATGAAGTACAGCTCAGACCCCTCTCTGATCGATGGAGAGGGATGCAGCTGCGTTCACCTGGCCGCTCAGTTCGGACACACCTCCATCGTGGCTTACCTCATCGCCAAAGGACAGGTAGACAACACCTTTGGATCATAATATATCGTGGTCTATATGTTTATTTAGCCAACATATCATTTTATTCTATGCCATGTTTTCCATTAACTAAATGTGTGAAAGCGCAGGATGGTTCATTTAATGTAATGTCATTTATTCTTGAGGAATTGTGTTTAATTTTGTGTTTTTGTTTCATGATCGGGATATGTTTACGTGGTTAGTTGAATGTATAAGTGTGTGTGATTGTAAGCATGTGGACCCCAGGAAGAGGCTCCTGTTAAAGAAAGAAACACTGTCAGAAAGAAAGCATACTTAAAATACCAAATATAGTCCTTTTTCCATTCAGAACTTGCTTATTTGACAAGATATCTTTTGAATATTCACTCTGGTCCACAAGGATATTATTTAAAAACAGTGTAAGTAATTGCTAAAATAATCTTGATTTCTTTGTTTGTAATTTGGGTGTAGCTTGTTATACCAGTTCTCTCCATCAGGGGGAGCCATTTTGTTGCTTGTCTTTTCCACCTCCGTCCTTCATTAATCTAATAATATGTTTCCTCTCCTTCAGGATGTAGACATGATGGATCAGAACGGCATGACTCCTCTGATGTGGGCGGCGTACAGGACACACAGGTGTGTGTGTGTGTGTGTGTGTGTGTGTGTGTGTGTGTGTGTGTGTGTGTGTGTGTGTGTGTGTGTGTGTGTGTGTGTGTGTGTGTGTGTGTGTGTGTGTGTCGATTTTATCCTCAAAGATGCAACTGATTCCTGAAAAAAGTGTGAAATACTGACATTTGTGCTGTTCAGTGACTTACACACATTTCTTATTCAGACACACTGTTGACATAGGGTAAGATAAGATGGACCTTTATTAATCCCTGTGGGGAAATTCAGTAGTTTAACAGCAACAAGGTGAGAATGAAAAACAGGACAACACAGATTAGAGATTAATACAATTAAAGATAAAATCAAAGATAAAAATAAAGTTATATACAGGTAAGTAACTTTAAGATAATAGATGAAAGCCCAAGACCATTTAACCATTAGTTTACATCATATGTGTTTGGTTAGAAAGTGTCAAATAATAATAATAATAAGTCTTTCTGTTTATCATTGAGTTGTCTTATTGTAATGGTCCTGTTTCTCGTTCCTCTGTGTGACAGTGTGGATCCCACCCGGCTGCTGCTGACCTTCAACGTGTCGGTCAATCTGGGCGACAAATATCACAAGAACACGGCGCTGCACTGGGCCGTGTTGGCTGGAAACACCACGGTCATCAGCCTGCTGCTGGACGCTAACGCTAACGTAGATGCACAGAACATCAAGGTAACCAATCCACTGTCTTCCTGATCCTTCAATGCCATATTATAGACTATTATCAAGGTGCAAGGATGACGTGTTTTTGTAGGCTGACCAAAAAGTTAGCATCACAAAAGCTTCATCGATTAAAGGCAGTGCGATTTTGGATTATTAAAGAAAATAATCTCTGTGGCAAACCCACCTTTATGATACTTACACGTTTTCTTCAGCATATTAACACCACTTTATGGTTTTTGAAGTATAAAGCTAACTATTAAGGAACTACAGCACGGTCACATGACTTCACATCACCACCGCTAAGCTAAAGGCGGCTAATGTTGGGCTATAAAGGAACTACAGCACGGTCACATGACTTCACGTCACCACCGCTAAGCTAAAGGAGGCTAATGTTGGGCTATAAAGGAACTACAGCACGGTCACATGACTTCACGACACCACCGCTAAGCTAAAGGAGGCTAATGTTGGGCTATAAAGGAACTACAGCACGGTCACACGACTTCTTGTCACCACCGCTAAGCTAAAGGAGGCTAATGCTGGGCTATAAAGGAACTACAGCACGGTCACATGACTTCACGTCACCACCGCTAAGCTAAAGGAGGCTAATGTTGGGCTATAAAGGAACTACAGCACGGTCACATGACTTCACGTCACCACCGCTAAGCTAAAGGCGGCTAATGTTAAGCTATAAAGGAACTACAGCACGGTCACACGACTTCTTGTCACCACCGCTAAGCTAAAGGAGGCTAATGCTGGGCTATAAAGGAACTACAGCACGGTCACATGACTTCTTGTCACCACCGCTAAGCTAAAGGTGGCTAATGTTGGGCTATAAAGGAACTACAGCACGGTCACATGACTTCACGTCACCACCGCTAAGCTAAAGGAGGCTAATGTTGGGCTATAAAGGAACTACAGCACGGTCACATGACTTCTTGTCACCACCGCTAAGCTAAAGGTGGCTAATGTTGGGCTATAAAGGAACTACAGCACGGTCACATGACTTCACGACACCGCCGCTAAGCTAAAGGTGGCTAATGTTGGGCTATAAAGGAACTACAGCACGGTCACATGACTTCTTGTCACCACCGCTAAGCTAAAGGAGGCTAATGTTGGGTGCGATGACGTCATTTAGACACTTGTTAGCAACCGCCGTTTTCTAAATTCACCAGTGGGGTATTTACTGACGTATTGTATGTCGCAGAACAGAACGTTAAAATCTCTTCGGCTCGTGTGAACCACAGACCTTATTTCAGGCATCTAACAAAAAAAATGTACTTCGAAATAAGGGAATCAAAAGTGCTTAAATGTTAACTTATTTCATTGTTTTAGGAGTCATTCCTGCACCACTCTGTCAGTGAAATGTAGCACAAGAAATAAGACAAGAAAGGTTGGAAATGCAGAGTTTTTTTGTGATGTCATTGTGTTGTTTTTTTAGGGCGAAACGCCGCTAGATCTCGCCAAGCAGAGGAAGAATGTTTGGATGATAAATCACTTACAGGAGGCGCGGCAGGCCAAAGGCTACGACAGCCCGTCGTACCTGAAGAGACTGAAAATGGACAAGGTATGTTACAGCATTTCAATTTAATTGTCATCTACTACTTCATGAAGGTTGTCCAATTAGGCCTTTGTGATATGGCCTATAAATAATACCTAATGATATACATATTGATATTTTAAATCCATTTGAATACCTCTCCAAAACATCTTGATCTTGGCTGTCTAGGGAGGGCTTGATTTCAGTCTTTCCTTCTTTAAATACTTGTTCCTACTTTCTTTCCATTTCGCATTATATGTTACCCGTTCTATTGAAATCAGTCGGAAGTCGCAACGTTCAAAATAAACGTGAATTTGCGTAAACAAATAGTTGTTTGGGTGTTTTGTTTGATTTTAAATGAACAAAGTCTTGGCTTTCAGAATATGAAACTTTTATTTCCAAAATCCCACGATAAATACATGTTTGAAGCTTGTAAAGGGAAGATGGCACCTCTCACTCGCACTCGGCTGTTTACTCCGTATCGCCGCTCCCCCTCCCTCCGGCTGACATTATGAATGAAAGGCGTTTAGTAATCATAGATAACACGGCAGGGTCTGTTACAGTTTGTTTTCATCTGATTTCAATTAAACAAAGTCTTGGCGTTCAGAATATTAAACTTGTTTCGGCAAATTCAGATGATAAATACAACTTTGAAGCTTGTGACGGCATAAATACAAGCGGAGAACGGAGTAACTTGACGTCACAGCAGGCATAACAACAGCCGGTGTTTCTCGGGAGTGTTTTCCCCGGGAAACAAACACAATACACACAAACGCAAAATTACACAAACACACACGTATACACTAGGGCTGTACCCGAATATTCGTTCGAGTACTATTCGGGTTTCAATTTCGTTATTCGTTTTTATGTTTTTTTCCCGTTTTCTTTTCAAATTGAATTTATTGAAATCTCCAATATCAACGTAAGAGCTTGTTCGGGGGGTGCTAACACTTAACCATAAATTATTGTTTACTTTCTCCGTCTTTATATGTAGATATTACTTTTCTCCGTTAATCTCCGTCACGTTGTTTCCATAGCAACAACAACTTCCTGTCAACAGCGCTACCTCTCCTTCAAAATAAAAGCATGTCCATATAGACATATACAACTGCAACGAAAGTAACACACACAATGCGATATCTTTTCAATTTCAAAGAACACAAATTGGGTTACATTAACAAATAACTCTAAAACAACAATACTATAGAATAACAAAATGAATGCCGTGAATACACCGAAATACACGTGTTGAAGCGGTTCGCTGCTGATTACTACCCCCCTCCCCCGCGCAGGTCGAATATTCGCTGCTGATTACTACCGAATAGCCGGAGCCCGAAAAATGGTATTCGGGACAGCCTTAGTATACACACACACACTCGCAAGCTTCCCCCAGACCAGTAATCCAAATGAAAATATCTTCCCTCCGTAGTATTTTGATCATTTGCTAATAACCAATCAGATCGATGGATTCCAGAGAAGAGGAAACTTTGAAGGCCTTTTTCTCAAAATGATGACTCGATGACAGTCATTATATAATGTGACATATTTCGCTTAATATTTGGGGAACAACAACAATCCTGATATCATTAGAAAGCTAGGAATCTCCTCTTTCCAGCAGTGTATACAACTCAAAATGTGTCTTCGGGTCAATGCGACTGATTTCGATGGAGCAGGTCACATATAGCAAAAGACAGTTTTAATACAATCTATTTAAACAACATCTAAAGTTTATCTGCCTTTTGTCGTTAAAATCTCATATTTCTTCATGTCAAAAGTGCAAAAAATGCTCATTTATTTCCTGGTTTTAGGAATATTTTTTGCAGCCTTCTGACATATGTCGAAATAAATAAATAACCTCTTGCGTCTCATGAGGTTTTGTGATTTTGATAAGATGCATAATCTTGTTTTTGTTGCTGCTCAAATCTGTTTTTAACTCTGCTTGAATGTGTTGTCTTTTGTCTCTTCTCTGCTGGGATGTAATTAGTTAAAAAAGGTAAAGAACTAGTTCATTTGCAAATAAAAAAAACACTGCGGTCTGTGGTTACTGTAGTCCAGATCCCAGCGCTGTAGTTAGCAAAGCTTCCCAGACCATTTGTAGAAAACATCCCACCTGCTTTGCCTGCTGCCTACCTTCCTCTTTACGTCTCCACAGATGAGAGGGTACAAAATATACTTTAAAAAGACATAATGCTTGATTTGTATGTCGAAAAAAACATGTACAATAAGTTAAGTGCGTTAGAAATCAGAAGTTATTTATCTAAATCTGCTTTATTGTGCAGTATCTGTTTAATTAATGCTTGTTTCAAATCCTGAATATCTGTTTTTGAGAACAGCAACCTGCAATACAGTTATTTTCTTAAATGTAAGCTTATAATTATGTTCTGATTCCTTTAAGGGTGTTTGTAACGAACAATACCAGTCTGCACTCGCACTTTAAAAAAAACAAGCTTTTGTAAACCTGTGCTGTTTCCGATCATCCAGTGAATCCATATTTCTGATCATGATTCATTACACTGGCTGATGTGAAGGATATATTTTTACTTTTACCACGTATTTTAACAATCTTTTTTAGCTAAGAAATGCTCAAAGGGACTCCTTCCTCCCTACGGAAATCTCATCTGTGTTTTCCCTTTTTGTGT